TGGTTACTCTTGGGCTGGGCACCTTGTTAGCCCAGCGGGCTGTCACTAGCACTGATTGGGCTTCACCTGGGAATTGGCTTTTATTAGAAAAGGATGGATTTTACAGCTAGTTGCCTTCTGAGCTGTCTTGTCTATGTGTTTGGTAGAGAAATGTGACATCACATCAGTGATGGTGACCCTTCTCCCCAGTAGGGTGCCACAAAACCACTTGGGCCTAGCACTGGACAGCTTCTTGTGTCTTCCACTAGATCCAGCACGCCCCTACACTCCTGCCTGTGGTGAGGCATCCGGATGCTGTGGTCCGGTTGGTTTAGGGGATGACCCAGCTACCTCACCTTGTCCCCACTCTGATGTAAAGAGTCTCTGTCTCTGGGAAATAAGAATAATTCTGTTAAACATCAGACATCCCAAAGCTTCTTGGCCCTCTTTCAGTCACCTGTTCTATTGAAGTGTTTTGGAAGCAAATCAGTAGAATTGATTTTAAAGAGTTTGAAAATCGAAGTTGCTGGGTAAGTCCTTCAGTGACAGAAGTTTCATTTATTTCTCAGTAAACATTTATGGGGGGTGTGTTCTGTGTGGGGTGCCATACTGGCTGTGGGATTCCTGGGCCAACAAAGCAGATCCCTTGCCTCTTACGGGATTTCTTTTATGTGAGCCAGACTTGTAGATCAAGAGTTTTATGCCAGCCTGGGGAGCCTTGTCAGAGTTGTGAGGAAACATCATGTGGTTTTGCAAACGTGGATGGGAACATCTTTTCTGCAGGAAGGTGGCATCCGGCGCCAGATGAGGAAGCCAGGCTCTTTTCAACAACCTTCATGTCTCAGGTGTGCCCAGTGTCCTACCAGCCTCCCCTTAGAATTGTGTCTCCATCTTTGCACCTCTCCTTCTCTTGCTCCGTCTTGATTCTTAGCTTTTGGCGTGGTGGATAACCTTAACCATGCACTCTGGAATGGGACCTGGCCCTTTAAGGGTGTAAGATCTGTGCTTTAAGCATGTAAGATCTGTCCACTGCTCATCCTTGGAAAAACAAAGTTAAAATTCCAACCAGTAGCTGGCTTTGATCTCAGAACACGAGAACTGAAGTCCTTGTGGTATTTGTCCAGGCAAATGGATAAACCAGCCTTTTATCTTTTTTTAAAAAATGCGGGTCTCCATCTTCTTTACGCTGACCATGGCCAGGATGGGGTGGGTCAGGGCCCACTGCTAAGCATGCTGCACGTTAGTTTCGCATGCCATACAATTAACCATTTTAAAGTGCAAAGTTTATGGCATTCGATACATTCAAAATGTTGTGCAACCATCACCTCTATATAGTTCCCAAACATTTTCATCACCCCAAAAGAAAACCACAAATCTCTTAAACAACAGGTTTCCATTCCTCTTCCTTTAGTCCTGGATTACCATCTATTTTCTGTCTCTATGAATTTATCTATTCTAGACATTTCATATAAAAGGAATCATACAATGTGTAACCTATTGTGTGTGGCTCCTTTCAGTTAACATAATGTTTTTAGGTTTATTCCTGTTGTAGCCTGTATCAGAACTTAATTGATTTTTTATGGCTGAATAATACTCCATTATATGGATAGACCAGAGTTTGTGTATCTATTCATCTGTTGATGGACATTTGGACTTATTCCACCTATGATTATTGTCAATAGTGCTGCTATGAGTATTCGTGTACAAATATTTGTTTGAAGACCTGTTTTCAGTTCTTTTGGGAATTATTGAGTCATGAGGTTATTCAATGTTCACCTTTCCGAGTAACCAACAAACTGTTCTCCATGGTGGCTGCACCATTTTACATTCTTAC